TAGACCCTATAAGCCTAACTATTAGTACTAGTACTAGTAGTAGTACTAGTACTAGTAGTAGTACTAGTACTAGTAGTAGTACTAGTACTAGTAGTAGTACTAGTAGTACTACTGCTACTACTACTACTAGTACTAGTGCTCATAGAGTCTATGTCCCCCAGGGTACTGCCGGAACGTACCCTGGGGTACGATCCGGTATACCGGAACGTACCCTGGTCACTATTTGATATGGTTAGGGATAGGATTAGGGTTAGGGTTAGGGTTAGGGCTCGGTTTCGGGTTAGGGTTAGGGAGTAGGCGTAGGCGACTCGTTAGTGGAGTAGGCGAGGTACGGTCCGGCATATTAGATAGTACCAGGGTACGTTCCGGCAGTACCCTGGGGGACATAGACCCTATGAGCGTTACTAACGCTGAGAGGGTCTATGTCCCCCGGGGTACTGCCGGAACGTAACCTGGGTACGGTCCGGTATACCGTAACGTACCCTGGTGCTATCTAATATGCCGGACCGTACCTCGCCTACTCCACTAACGAGTCTATGCATGGAGTCGCCTACGCCTACTCCCTAATCCTAACCCTAACCCTAACCCTAATCCTAACCCTAACCATATCAAATAGTGACCAGGGTACGTTCCGGTATACCGGACCGTACCCAGGGTACGTTCCGGCAGTACCCTGGGGGACATGCATAGACCCTATGAGCGTTACTAACAGCAACGAGCACATTACATTAACATTACATTACATTACATTAGTCATTACATCAAGAGTACATAATAGAGATCTCTATTATGTACTCTTGATTACATTAACAGCGACGACACCAAAACCCACGTGGCTATATGCACTGCCTAACTAAAAACAGGGGTAAGACTAATCCCCGGGCACTCTGTGAGGGTGAGCCCACAGTGTATATATAGGGGTGGTCGGGTAGGGTAGCTAGGGTCGGGTAGGCCTAACTCTAACCCTAACCTTAACCATACCCTACCCGACCACCCCTACATTGTGGGCTCGCCCGCACAGAGTGCCCGCGGGGATTAAGTCTTTCCAACTAAAGTCTTAAGTCTTTTCGTCTTAAGTCTTCAGTCTTAGGTTTTTCAGTCTTCAGTCTTAAGTTCTTAAGTCTTAAGTTCTTAAAGTCTTAAGTCTTCAGTCTTAAGTTCTTTCAGTCTTAACTCTTTTCCAACTAAAACAGCATGATCGATCCACAGGCACATTGTCAGTTATACGACCTGCAAATTTGAAATTGCAGTCAACAGGTTTCGGTTTGTAATAACATTTTATCTGTAGTTTGCTGGCCTAGTATTATTAACGATGAGGGATGGGAAATAATTATAAATACACGGCTCAGTGAATGAACATACCAATGGGTGAACGGGAAGAGATTTTGGTTGCTCCAATCCAGCACAGCCATATTTGGTTTCCAATAATAAACAATCGCCACCTGCTGGTAACTTGGCAGACAGTCTCCACTTTCGTACAAGACAGTAAATATACACGATTGCCCGCTTTAATGAATACCACTTCCCTATAAACAAATTCACAGCAATGTTAGGTATAGTGCAATAATTCATTCGTTACAAATAAATTGTTGGAGTGAAGACGTACTAAAATGATAGTTTGGGACCCTACATATTTATAATACATTCTACAAATATGTGTTTTCGCACATGTGCTAAACTAATCCGGGAGCCGTGCTAAACTATAGTATATATAGGCTTGGCCCGGGCCAACGACACTATATATCAAGGAACAAATAAATTCATGCTGGAGTGCATGAGGAAAATATTAGAATTAAAGAAGCAGTTGACACCACTGTACAAGCCATACCGGGTTGTGCGTATTTCCCACTGATCGGAAGTGGGGTCCGACCAGCAAAAACACAATATATGACATAGGCAGCGGCGAGCGCGACCAGGGCCTGTAGAACCATGCTAACACGTTGTGCTCACAAGCAGAACTGAACAACACAGAAAATTATGAAGTGCCTGCAGCGTTTACTTATGTTATCATATCACGTGCGCGTCACTTGCACCCATGCAGCGTCACTTGCACCCATGCATGCAGCTGGTCATTGCCATTGGTCCTGGACGCTTTTTTTTTTTATCACAGATCCATAAATTTGGCAATATATACCGTTTGTTTCACAACTTGGAGCGTCTCAATAAAGAAAAATAATGCTAAATAAACACGAAACGTATTTACTACCAAATCTTAAGTCTTAGGTCTACCAAAGTCTTCTCTACGCTCAATGCTTCTCAATGCTTCAAATACTTTCAAATGCTTCTCTACTCTCTTTCGCCTATTATTGCCGATAATTTCCTGTAAATGCTGTTCAAGTGCTCCTCTGCAACATACACGTATACGTAAGGCCAATAGCTACACCGCACGCACGCCGCTGCATGCACGTTTACACTACGAATTAGTTAGTAGAGGGAGACCTGGGTTTCCCTCTACCTATGCCTCTACTAACTATGGTGTATCGGCCGCAGCTAACTCATTTTGCCTGGAGCCACGCGCGTTTTGCACGTGCCCGGCCACGTGCACTAGCCCGGCCGGCCCTGATGCACACGTTAATTTGATTGGCATTATACACCGAAGAATAATAAGAACTGTAAACTAATAATAATAACTATAAATAAGAAGACTAATAGTAAGTTATTCTTAGTCTATGTAGGCCTACATATTCAGGAGTAGTGTGGTATGAAAAATGATGATCCTATTATAATTATAATCAATCGCGGCAAATCCAACAAACCTCCTTAAAAGTACGGCCAGGCGTGAATGTATACTCTGCGCATGTCTATACTATCTGCTAGAGGTAGCCCCTAATCAAAATTTGTCAGATCATAAACAGTTTTCTGGAAAAATGGGGAACTCATTGCTTCCTTTATACGATAAGAAGGAGCCCGGCCCGAATCTCATAATATCCCGATTACTCGCCCCATATACTCAGAAGTATAGGTATTGATCCAAATCCTTCTTCATTAATAATTATGAGGCAAAGGTTATTCCAAAACTCCTCAAGTTTTTCAATTATTCCAACGTGTGATAGATTAATTATAAGGTCAGGCGTGGAAGTTAACAGTATAGTTATATCTAAAAAAAATGTTGGCCCTGTGCAATTAGGGGCCTAGGGGGCCTACTTCATTGCACGCCGTAATCATCGAAATCATCGCAGAATTTAAGTCACATTTTGGTAGAAGTGCGTTTTTATAAGAGAGAAGGCATTCTCGGGAATAGGTATATAAAATGTGAAACGTACGTATTGGCTCCCTTATATAAGAAGAGGGAGTCCAATTGTACGGAATCGGGATATGCCGATTCCGTACATTTTTCGTGCTGTAAAAGATAGAGATATAGAGATAGAGTCGATAAAAAGTAGCGTACGATGGAAGCTAAACAAAATATATTTGTATATATTTTTGTTGAAGTTATACACTTATATGAAGCACATACTCAGAACTATATAGCTTGCGACTTGTTTATCCTAATGACTCAATTCAATAATTAAAAAACGGAAAATCTTCCAACCCTCCTTATCGTAGAAAAATTATACGAGCAGACGTGTCTATATGCGCCTAACTGCTATCTAATAACAGAAATCACATTTGGTTGGAATTGTGCATTTAAAACAAATGGGATATACTCGGGAATAGTCATCTATGAAAGATCTAAAACACATTTCCTCCCTTATTTTATAAAATCAGAGTGCGCTCAGGTATCTCAACAATATGATTACCCGCAACGCCGAATATATTTATGTACATTTTTCGCTGCAGTTGGTCTTTCCCAGCGCTGCGCATGAGAAGTAGTGTATGATGGTAAACGAAACACATTTTGTTGTATGTATATTTTGTTGAAATTATAAAACTGTATTGAGCACACACTCTGGAACAGTTCGATATTAAAATTGTTACGCTATGTCGCCGAGGTGGCGATGTCCCAATCGCTATACCTTAGGGTAGGAATGGGAATGAGGCGGGCAGTGCCGCCCCAACGAAGTAGTAAGGTCATAATTTGCGATGTGCACCACCTGCTTGGCCACGGGAATTCGCGAATTCGTCACTATGAGATTTTATGCGAGATATCAACCTGGCATCTGTGTGTTGGTTGGGGTGACGGAACTATCTCTGTGAAACGGAACTAGAGAGAGAAAAGCGGTGCAACGAAAGCTTCACTGTGAGATTTTATGCGAGATATCAACCTGGCATCTGTGTGTTAGATAAAGCGTGGTGTATGTATGAATAATGCTTGTATCGCTGTGAGTACATATAACACAGTGAGGAAGGGGTGGGAGATAAATAAAGAGAGGGGGAGAGAAAGAGAGCGAGCGAGAAAGAAAGAGGGAGAGCGCGCGAAAGAGAGAGAGAAGGGGGAGGGCGCGCGCGAGAGAGAGTGCGATACACATATATATATTATCAGGAGTAGATAATAGAAGAGAGAGAGAGATAGAGAGATAGAGAGATAGAGAATCTTCTATTATCTACTCCTGATATTATATTCTTATATATATATATATAGAGAAGAGAGCGAGAGAGAGCGAGAGAGAGAGAAGAGAGAGAGAGAGGAGAGAGAGAGCGAGAGAGAGAGAGAAATTAAGGAGCGAGCGAGTGAGCGAACAGAGAGAGAGAGAGAGAAAGAGAGAGAGAGAGGAGAGAGAGAGAGAGAGAGAGAGAGAGAGAGAGAGAGAGAGAGAGAGAGAGGAGAGAGAGGGTTGGCTGTAAATCGAAAATCCATCGCATTTTTATTGTGGATTGTACTATTACGGTAATAATTGTAATACTGTTTCGTCGCTTCGACCATATATTTATATATGTCATATATAGTCGGTATATATATCGGTTATAGTCAGTATATAGAGACGCACGCATCAGGTGTAACACATTGCATGACATTGCAGCTGCCGCTGGGCCCGTAGAAAAGCGGCTCGGTGTGCCAATAAAGGCCGAAGATGACTGTAACCCGAACATCGGCGCGCTGAACTTCTCGACGGACGCCACCGACTGTCAGGTGTTCTACATCTGTGACCACGGCTGGCCGAAGATCCGTAGATGCCCGGGCAACACGATTTGGACGCCAGCCATCGAGAGATGCGATGACCAGTGCCTCGCCGTCAATGACGACTGCAGCTACGTGAGGAACGAGGAAGCCTGCCTGGAACTGTTCACGGAGACTCCCTCCGACATTATTAGAAGTGAGAAGCTTTACAAGAGAGAGAGAGAGAGAGAGAGGAGAGCGAGCCAAGATTTTCGTAACACGGCCGATCGGCTAGATGCACTAATATTTTACGACTGACGACAAGTCTAACAAACATCGAGAGAGGAAAACACGAGGAAGGAATTATCCAACCATAAAGCCAACCCTAATCATTGCTGCTCACCCGCCTCTTACTCCCATGCGCACTCACTTATCCTGATCCGCATCCCCAACATCCTTCTCTTCTCCCTGTTCTCCTCTCCGTTGCCGCCGCCAACAAGAAACATTGCAACAAACAACAACAACAACAACAACAACAACAACAACAACAACAACAACAACAACAACGGCGACGGCGACGACGACAGGCACATCCCGCCCACCGTGCAGACAGAAGTAACGGATTATTGTAATAATAACACTGCGAGTCAGGCAAGGAAGCTAACACAACTCTGTGGCATAAAAGCCGAGGTACCGCACGTACAGGCGTGCGTGCAAAGACTCGTGCACAGTCACAGATTCAGGATGCCGGTGTTGCCACGAGGGGATTGAGTTTGTCCAAGCATGTGCGGCCGAGCTCCTTATGTGCACACGCGCATGCGTGTACAGTCTGCCTGCCTACAACAGATGCACGGCAAGGAGCTAAATATATTTATAATATAGTTATATTTAGCTCCTTGAGGCACGTGAGTGTCGCGTGCGTGCGAGCACATGCGCGTACGTGCGCGCAGACGTGTATGTGCACGCATGCGTGTATGTGCGCGCATGCGTGTATGTGCGCGCACGCATGTGCATGCACACACGCGTGTACGTGCACCCACGCGTGTATGTGCGCGCATGCGTGTGTGTGCGCGCATGCGTGTATGTACGCGCACGCGTGTACATGCACGCACGAGTGTACGTGCGCTCATGCGCGCGTGCGGTCATGTCCATCTGTGTACGGCAGATACACTCACGTACACCTGTTGTACACGGAGGAAAGGTACACGCGTGCGCGCACGTACACGCGCACGTGCACATGAGGAGGTCGGCAATATGAACAAATCCAATGGGCAACCTTTCCCATTAAAAGATGAGTTTTTCTAGGCGGTAGCACACGGTTGCCATCTGTATATCGCAATAATAATTTATAAACCAAAATGAATCAATTTGTGACGGTGGATGGCGCTATACCCGCTTTAATATTTCTTAGCGATGGCGTTCGAAATAAATAGGTTATGCTGCGTTGCGGCATGTTTTGTAAAACTTTACTCTAATGTAGACGTTTTATCGGCAGGGTGGAGAGGAAATACCAATTTTGCATTAAAGATATTGTCAATGAAATCTTGTAAAACGAACCAGACGAGTGTGACACCACAGAATGTTATCTGCGTGTCTATTACATAATATGCTATATAATTGCCAAAACCTACGTAATTTGTATAATTTTTTTTAAATATCAAAACCCCTGGTCCTTATTCATTCACATACAAAAAATGAGCAAAATCCGTTGAACCTGAACTGACTAATGGAAATTCCCATTTTTGCCAAAAAATTGCCGTGGCTTGAAAGTACGTCGACTGGCGTGCTCCAAAATAGGACGTTCAATATGGGAGCATAGCAGTAACAACTATACCCAATTTCAAACATGTGGGTCAAACGGCTCCTGAGTTATCGTTGACCGTAGCCAAAAGTTGACGGAAGGACGGACGGACGGACGGACGGACGGACGTACGACGGACGACGACCCATGGCAATAGCTCATCTTGACGATGTCAAGGTTAGCTAAAAACAAGCAAAACGAGAATCAAGGAACGAAAGCATGAATTGATTAATTACGTCATTTACAAGTCTATTTTATTTCAACAACAATCAATCGACACCTGTACAGGAATAAATACTGCATGCCGGCTACAGGCCCGAGTAACCATGCACACGTCGTGCACACAAATCGAAGCTTCGAATAAAGCTTTAATGAGCATAATCACTACTCTCTGAAATGTGACAACTTATTTAATAATAATAATGATAATAATAATAAAAACTACAAGTAAACTTGGTAATTTATAAGTATATTACAGTTTAAACACCTACGCTAGTACGGTGAGTGTCTGCACGATTATTAACGACAAATGCCGCAAACAGTTTGCAAGCAAAATACGTAGTTGGCGGATGCAAATAGTCTAGCACTGTTTATATCATAGCATTTGAATATACAAATATCATGACAATGAATTGCGGACACACTAAACTCTTTCTCAGAAGCTTACAAAAATTATACTTTATATCTGCCAATCTGACAAAATGTGTAACTAAAATACGCGGAGCAAATCTGCCGCGAGCAATTTCATTAACTCAAAATGAAATTTGCGTTGCAATTTTTGGAAAGTCGCACACTGTACACAACGCCTACGCGTGATTCGGACTTCCATTATCCTACAGATAATTAAACTTGTACCCGCAAACAACCACTTCATATTAAATAATCGTTAAAAAACGCACATGCTTAATTCCGTTTCTTCGATAAAGCTCTGCTCGCGCTGGCTGCTCGTACGGTTTTGTGTGAATAAAATTGAAACTGCAAGAGACAACCACTCACACAACTACCGCCGATCCCTCATTTACACTATTATGCAAATAATCCTCCAACGATATGCTCACTTGGTTCTACCAACATAGGCGCACGCAATTTCAGAGTCTCGCAAGCGGGAATGCAACGGCTATGCTACGGAAGCCCCCTCCTGCCTGCGCGTTCGGCCGCCTGCAGCGTGCCTGCACATATAAGGTCATCGTGGTTCAGTGCGTTCCGGATGCGAGCCATTGTTCTCCAGCTCGCGCCAACCTTCGTGCGTTCTTAGTGTAAGCCTGCAGTGTCGACAACCACGAGATGGTCGTCCTGCTATAGGCTAACCTTCCACAGCCTCACGTCTTGCTGGCAGCCACGTGTAGTAGATATGAGCGCCGGCTCCACACCGGCCCGACCACTGGGAAGCACATTCTATATAAAACACGCACACGGGATTCACTGATATCTTCTTTGGTTTTGTAATCACAGAACTATAACCGTCGTAATCTGACACACGAGACTTTTCGTAGTTGGTGGTGGTTCTAGCAATGCGATACAAAACTATATTCTTACACTCACACTTTTATGAACGTATAATGAATGACAAAAGCATATATTTTGGTTCATGTTTATCGCCACCAGGGGGACTGTCTGTTTTAGGTTCGCTACAGCCTTCCACCACGTCAGTTTCTCCACCACTCCGGTTAGTAAACATTTATAACCCACGTTTCACAAAAATACACTATATAGTGACTTAGTCGTGTGAATTTTTAATAGCTGGTTGTCACACTGTCCCACATACATCGCCAACTAAGTAAACAACACATATTGGCGAAAATGTCACTAGTTTACATGCTTATAACAGTGGACCGATGCAAATGCCCCAACATGTCCCAGATACCACCATACCAGCTGAATAATAAGATTTTGACGGATGTGAAGAATAGAGACATCTCTCCTCTTTACTCTTAGTATACTATCCCACTGAGGTATTACTGTAAGCATTTTGGACAGCGCCAAACAAGGCCACCTATTAATTACACAACATACAAACATATTCTGGTGGTGGGGGGTTATCTGTACTGAAAAAGGGCAATAAACCTAATAAAGCTACAATTCGATTACAAACTGACTGACCACAACCAACCGAAAGGCCAACCAACCTTCGTTGAAGCATGTAGTTGGAGCATAATAATGCCAGAACCCGGCTATTGTCCGAAAAGGAAAGTAAACATGTCTACACAAACACACACAGACATTCAGAAGTATTTACACTTACATTTCAGAACTGACTGCCATCAAGCATTTAAAAAATAATCGGCATCATTCTCCGTTTACGAAAAGGCAAATCAAATCTTATGTACACTAGCATTAAACGCGCACGATAACGAGTAACTCATGGCAAACTTGCCTGTGTACAGATGACAAGAACCGATTCTTCACTTGTATTTAACATGTCAACTAATATAGTAACAACGAGTGGATGGCTCTGAGGGAGGGCGGACAAGGCCTACCGCATTATAATACGTACGCTATTAGTTGAAGTTCGATACACGCATGCTCACACATCTGCGCACGCACGAATACAATTCGTTAAATACAAAAAGCAGACTTCAAGCCTACACAACCGATACCAGCGATAAACCTTTAGAGAGTAACACACTTATTCTTCATGGCATTCAAATGCCCCCTTCCTACAGTAAGCATTTGCTAAAAAATACACGTATTTCGTAGACAAGCTATCGGAAGAAAAGACTTATTGACTGGAATATTGATTGCAGCATGGCAGCACGTGCACTTTGCAGTTTTTCGATTTTGAGCACCAAACTCAGCCCCTGCGATTCAGTCAAGTGAAGCTGTTTTTAGAGATACAGTATAGATTCTTAGAAACGCGTCACGCATCTTCAACATGACTGGTAGCATTCAGCTCTCCTCACACTGCGAAATGCAGCTGACATGCCGACGTGAAGGAAAGCCGCATTCTACCATCTTATGAGCTTTATCGTGTCACCTAGTACTGTAGTAGAGTCACCCTGATAATCGGTTCGAATCCCAGTTGACGCCTTTCAAGTGATGCACCTAGCCTGGTGTTACATAATTAGCCCAATTTACCCTTTAGAAGGGCCTGCAGTACACTATTGCACAGACGTTTCATTTCTACCTGCACTAGAGCTAATTACAATACTGAAATGTTAAATTTGACACAAATTTTGCACCCTAACAGATATTGCTTCCTATAAAACCTGTCTATTTTAATCACTACCACACTTGCTACTGGAACTGGCTACACTCATTACATTTCTGCATGTTAATAAGTTAAATAAATAATGAACACAAGAAACAAAAAACATCCTTGTCACTCAACCGAAACAGCCAGAACCAGGCGACTGCAGCTTTCAACCAAAGCTCATTTCAGCTTCGAACGAGTTGGGTTGCTAGCAAAGCAAGCGAGGAAGAGCATAGGAGGGGACTTTTGACAGACAAGCGGCTCTCGGCTTTTGTATTTACAGTTAACCCGCGTACACACTGGATCAACGTCGCTGTCGGTTCGTGCCTACATCTGTCAAAGAAGCAGGCTTCTCTCATTAGTGTGCTCGTAGTAGAGGCTTCCTCTGTCAACTTTCACATAGATCTCAAAATGTGATAGACTTTGTGATTCCAACGTGTGATGCCGGAACAGGGCTAATCTGCTTTGTGTCATTCTGGTAAAAGCCAAAAGGAATTTACAATTATAGTAGGATACGACTTACGGATTTACATTCACTGGCCACTGAATGGTAGCCAGAAAAAAAATTCAAGCTTAGTGAGGTTACTATATGCATTCAGATCGATGATATGAACTCGATATCTTGAACTGTATGAACAGTATTTCTGACTTACACGGATACTGTATGCAAAATCAGGTTTATTACTTCAGATTATTTGAACCTACCATGTTCGCTCCAAATTTCCATAAGCTGCTTGGATAATAAACAGAATTTTTTTTAATGTTTATCGCTATAGAAATGTAGAATACAAATACAATAATTTGTTACAATTAACCTATCTGCCTGAGCAAGATAACCTCGCCCCTTTGGATATTGTTGCAAAGTTGGTCAAGCTAACCCAGTATGTATGTTCATGTGCATGCCAGAATGTTGGCTCTGCACCACCTCATTCCCACGCATTGCCTTTAGAATGTCCAATCCAACAATGATTGTCAATCATGGCAGACAAATAGGTCAATTTGATTGTTATGAAATGGCTTGCACTCACATACCATGTATTAGTATTAGAAGCCCTAGTAAGATTGGTTTAGACGTAAGAAGGTTTGGAGCAAGATCTAGTGTGGAATAGGCTCTCACACTACATCTCAACGAATAAAACTGTGTATTTTAAAGACAAGAAGTCAACATCAACAAATTAACCAACCAAATACACTGCTGATGGCAATATTTTAATTCGACTTCACACTTGCAGTGAACATTACATTGCACATCCATACTGATTGCTTGTGGGAGGATAACAAGGTTACTATTAAGCTGTGTTCAGACCAAGGGTTTAGCTGTGAGAGTGAATGCCAAGCAAATAACAATTGAGAAAATAATAAGCTAACGCTGCACCTTCATTATGACAAATCACGCAAGGGTCTTCTCTATAACGAATCACACTGAACCAATTAGTGGTAGGCTAATGTCAAGGTCATCTCCATAATAGGCCAGTTAAATCCTCAGTCACATCACGCACTCACAAACGATACCGTACCTGGTGTTTTCGTCGTTCCACAAATGCCTGCAGACGAGTGGTTGAAAGTGGTCGACCGATGGGAGAGGTTGGAGAACTGCAGCCAGCAGCAGCGCGCGTAAACCAGGCCATCTCCAGACAGCTCTGCGCTGTTAAACGCTTCCTGTAACAAGATAGGAAAAAAGGAAATGTGAAAATTGCACCAACTGCAGAGATGTGCTCTCCTATACTAGCCAACTGCCACAAGCACACGCGCTTGCACTTGCATTAAGCTGCCCCAGCATGTGAGTATTGGTGAACCGGCAAAGTATCCCCACGCACTAACTATGGTACATGTACTGGTAAACTTTAAAAAAAATTAAAAATGATCTCAGACGCCATGAGTTTGCCGAGGCAGCCATGTTGTGGTAGAGAAATCACTCCCTGCACAATCGTCCAGTGAGCAGCTACCATCAGCCTAATCCCTCCCACGAGAACGCATCAACGAAGACGTACGCCATGTCCATGCAGAGTAGACTGCTGACTATCTCTTTCGTCTCGTCCGAGATATTCTTGAAGTACTGGTCTGGAAAGCTCCAGTCGTTGTGTGCTATATTTGAGCAGGTCTCCTCGACGGAATCATCGAGAAACGGTGATACTCCACTGAGTAGGACATAGAGCACAACTCCAACGCTCCTATAAGGAAACGAAACACAACTTATAGATACATATTACCAGGAGTAGATAAAGGGAAGGAGTGTGACTCCAATAAACAAGGGAAATTCGTCATTTACTAGCCTTATAATACCTACGATTTACTACGCGTAACTCATCCAACTTGAGCTCAAATCGGACACAGTACATTCGCCCATCATCGTACCAAATCGTTTCCTCAATTAGACACTCGCAATCCGGAAATACAGACTAAAACATACGACACGATTCTCCAATCTTTGTCCATTAATCAACCGTAGCAATCGCCTATGATTCAAACAAAAGGCAGCTACTAACCACACTGTCCACGGCTTGCGTTCACGGCGAGGCGCTGTGGCTAGCAGGGTGATTAGGCATCAACGCAACACTCGGCGAGATAACCTTTGACCCGGTAGACAGCTACAATGTATGCCTGTATGTCATACCGGCATGCCGGCACGCACGCACGCCAATCCGCTATCAGCAGCAGATCGGATTGAAATCTCCCTGCGAGCCACAGCGCCTCGCCGTGAACGCAAGCCGTGGACAGTGTGGTTAGTAGCTGCCTTTTGTTTGAATCATAGGCGATTGCTACGGTTGATTAATGGACAAAGATTGGAGAATCGTGTCGTATGTTTTAGTCTGTATTTCCGGATTGCGAGTGTCTAATTGAGGAAACGATTTGGTACGATGATGGGCGAATGTACTGTGTCCGATTTGAGCTCAAGTTGGATGAGTTACGCGTAGTAAATCGTAGGTATTATAAGGCTAGTAAATGACGAATTTCCCTTGTTTATTGGAGTCACACTCCTTCCCTTTATCTACTCCTTATATTACTTCACCGGGTATAGGCAACTTGGGCACTGGAAAGTGCGACACAAGGTTAGGTGGCATCACAGAAGATTGGTCTAGGGATTTCGGTCACGGAGAAACTGGTCACGAGGAAAATCAGGTGGAAAATTAAAAACTGGTTTGCTCTTGCATATCAAATCAAGTCAATTCAGTAATATGAGATGCTACACGTATCATTCTACTCTTGTAGCAAAGGTTCTGCAAATTTCTTTACGTGTACTGCAACATGTAGAGATTATGCTGACATTTAATAGGCATGTTCACCAAACCAACCCTCTGTCTTAACTACATGTAGGGTAATTAACCCCATAAGCAACTTTGGCACAGGGTATTACACCATTTTACTTTGTGCTTAGCTGGTCAATTAATCACAAACTCTGTCAAGCAACACTGCTATCAAGAAAATATTATTGGACCCTATGTCACACGTGTTTCTTGAAAAAATTCAACAGTTTACGAACGTGACTAAATACACTAAGACGAAACACCCATTACATGGCTCAAGCTTTTCAAAATTCCAAACCATTTACAAAGAAAACCGACTACCAACGGAAGGTAAATTCCACTGGAGAAACGCACTAAAAAAGGGCAAAAATAACTAAGGGCAGGAAAATGCGAGTTACGTATAGAACAGCGCAGCGCGTTCACGTGCCCGCATACACACCACATGTCTGTCTGCAGTCCGACCGGCTGACCGAGGACTAGCTCGGGCGCGGCAAACTCGGGGCTGCCGAGCAGCGGGTGCACGTAGTAGTTGTTGCAGATGTGGCGCGCGTCGCCAAAGTCGACGAGCTTGAGCAGTGGCGACGTGTGCGAAAGATCGATCAGCAGATTCTCGGGCTGAAAGCAGAGCGATTGAATGCACACTGAACGCAAACGCTAAGCTACCGACCTCTACTCCACTCGATCAAAGCAGCTATGTAGCCATGGTGCTGTTGCAATGAAGTTGCAATGAAATACCTCAACAATAATAATAATAATGATCACAATGATAATAATAATAGATCATTAATATATATATATATATAAATGAAAATTACGCCAAGTAGAAATATAGCAAGCCATGCAATATGTGGTACCATCCGAATGAACACCTGTTGACAGGGCACCAACCGATGGCGTGATTGGTGCTGGTCACGTGCTGGAATTTTCACGGATGTTGAATAAAGACGAGAAGAAAAGGCTACCTTGATGTCAAGATGAGCGATGTGACAGTTATGCAGATACTGCACAACTTCCAGCAGGTGTCTCACGTACGTCTTCATCTGGACTTCGTCGTACAGAGGTTTCTGGCAGAGCCAGTCTAGCAAACGCTCACCTGGCACCCTGTAAACACCAAATAACATGACAACTACATGCGGCCCTCACTCGTGTGACAAAAAATAATGTAACGTAAAATGGGCTGCTGTGGCCGCACACGATACCACCACCATGGTGGTGGTATTACGCATCAGCATCCCAAAGTGTGACACTGACACAAGGAAATGCGACACTGGCTGCTGGCATGACACAATGTCACATTGGCATGACAAAATGAAGTATTGGCACAATGCAATGCAATATTAGCATGATGTAATAAGCCACCTGCATGACAAAATACGGGATTGGCCAAACAATATTAGCATGATGTGATGTTGGCACAAAGCTACATTAACGCTTTATTGGCACGATGCAAATTTCGCAGAATGCGACATTGACGCGACACTATGAGATGGTTGCACGATATGCCACGAACCGACACACTGGGATGGTGCGACATTATTGCAATGCGAAAAAGATGCTAGTACAACACGATGTTGACACGATGACACGAAGCGTCAGTGGCATGATACGACATTGACATGATGCTACGAGATATTGGCATGATGCGACATTGAGACGATGCAATGATGTGACATTGTCACGATGCAATGATGCGACATTGTCACGATGCAATGATGCCACATTGTCACGATGCAATGATGCCACATTGACACGATGCAACGATACAACGTTGGCACGACGGGACATTAGCACAATGCAATGACGGGGAGGTGGACACGCGGCACAACGTTAGCACAACGGGACATTAGCACAATGCAATGACGGGGAGGGGGACACGCGGCGCCGCTCGCGCTGCTTACATCCTCAGCGTGATGATGTAGCTGCAGCTCGTCTCGTACGTGTCGACGGCCGGCACGAGGTGCAGGTGCTGCAGACCCTGCAGCAGCGTGAACTCGTTCTCCGCCGGCTCGATGCTCGACAGCCGCTTGCTGATGAACTTGGCCGCCATCTCCACGCCGCTCGACTTCTGCACGACTTGCTTCACGACGGAGAATCGACCCCTGCAGACGCGCAGTACTATTTAACGTCGCGACGAGGTTTAGGGTACATCCTTACTATTGATGATACCAATCATATATTTATGTCTCTACCTTAAGATGAAACAATATTACTCAGGCTCTCTCTCTCTTTCTCTCTCTCTCTCTCTATACATATATACATATATATGTGCATGTGTGTGTGTATATATATAATACAGGGGTAGAAATTAAGTTTTGAACACGGGAGTCCCTACCCTCAAAAAGAGGGAGTCTGCAGTCTGAGGTTCAAAATTAAAGATATTAACAATAACGCACGTGCTTATTTTTAAGATTCATGCGGTTGCACGTCTGTCAAATTTTCTTTGGATATTAGCTAAAAAAATACGGTATTTCCACGAGGCCGTGCTCTGGTAGCATGGCAGAATTTTCAGGGAGTCCGACAGTAAATCTGGGAGTATTTGACTCCGAACTCCCGTTAATTTTGCACCCTGTATATATGCAGGTTATATATCCCTATTACATTGTAGGGTGTTACCATATCGATACTTCAGACTTAGAGACAAAGAGACAAAGAGTAGACAGAATATTCCAATTAATTTAACAAGAGATAGATTTACCCTCTTACATTAAAAAATTTAATAAAAACGTGACGACGCAGCAACTCGGCAGGCCTTCTATCTTTTACACTTTATCATACTACTAATTTACTTCATTACTCAATTTCTATTTAACTAACTATTTAACAAAACGTACTATTTACATATTATATACAGGTAGGTCCCGTTTTACGATGGTGCATTTTACGACTTTTCACATTAACGACCTTTTCAAAATGACATAAAACTAAATAACACATCGCAGCAAGTCCAGACACGCAATATGCGCTTCTTTTGTTTTTCACAGTGCACTGTGGGTGGAACGATAGCATTTAATTGCATTATAATTTGGTAATTTGACGACTTTTCATTTTACAAACCTGTTTTACTGGAACCTAACCCTGTCGTAAAACGGGACCTACCTGTATTTAATTTGGTATTACTTTATACACTAGCATACGCGCAGGAGGCCTAATAGCTCGCGCTCGACCGTCGTACACACCTGCCAATCTCGTTCACCTCGACGTGGTCCTTTGAGAAGAAGGTCTTCCACTCGACGCGCGGTCGGTGCATGTCCTGGCCGTCGGCGGCAGCGGCGGGGATCGTGACGAGCGCCGACGGCTCACTCGGCTCGCTGATGCCGACCGCATTGTTCGCGCTCACGCGGAACTGGTAGACCGTGTTCGGAGTCAGGTAGTCGACAACCTGTATCGTCGTCGGAGCGAACGCCACTGCCGCCTGCCACATGCCCGAGCCTGCACGACAAACATGGCGACGTTAGACATCGGTGCCACGCGAGGTTCGCGTGGATCACTCGTCGGCGGGAAATTTGTTCGAATGTTATGCGTACCGTAAATGTACTGCACTCTTCCAGCCTGTACCGCGCTGACAGTGTACGCCTGATTACAATGACTAAACATAGAAGAAAGTAAATGAAAAATAAGAATATGTATATAAATTACTAAATAAAAAAACTTATTCATCCATTATTACTGTATTAGCTGGATGGCAGGACCATCTTTTTTTTAAATTAATTTTTTAGGCGTATGTGTGTGTTTGGGGGGAGGGGGGGGAGGAGGGTTGTTTCACATAGTTTTTTTTATAGTTTATATAACATTACAAGTGTAAAATTTGTTCTTAGATTGACATTTCTGTTCATTCAGTATTTTTCAATTGCCATGATTTTGACGTGATATGATAACAAGTTTAATGATGGTCTTTCAGCAAATATAAATAAGTCCCTGAGTGAGTGACTATGCGCGAACAGAAATAAACTGAATTAGGAATATACTGAGGGACCGATAAATCCATATCCATGAAAATACATCGTATATATTGTAGGCACGAAACACACTGGTTGCTATATAATATAAGAGCGTGCATGCCTAGAGCTTACAAATCGCATATGAGTAATTGTGAATAATTTCATCTGTCTACTTTTCTACTCCTTCATCAATCTACATATTCATCTGCTGCTACCTTGCTCATTGTATTCAACGGTGTATGCTGTTATTGGAGTGTTTCCAGTGTTTCTTGATGGTTGCCATTTTAACTTGACTGAAGTTCCCATCTGTTCTACTACTGCTGGTGTGCCAGGTGCAGAGGGTTTATCTAAAATAGGGAAATGAACACAATGTGATTATTGCAAACTGTCACTATATAAAAAAAAGAAGGTAAAACACACACGAACGCACGCACCCATGCACATAAGTACAGACGCACACACACAATGTTTATCTATAGTATACATGTTATACATGTTTATCTATAGTATCATATCTAACTATAGATTGATAACAATGATACTACATCACTATTATTACCATAATAAATCCATAATACTGTATATGATAGTATTCAGATACTTCATACCGAAAACACATTTAGCTTTCACCAATAACAATATAAAAAAAATCCTAAAATATTAAAATTCCCTTTGCAAATACTTTTACATTTTCTGCAATAGAGGAATAGGGTTTCAACAAGTTTACTGTACTGTGTTTCCCCTTCATATGCTGCCCGGTGCAGCTATGGTAATAGTCACAGTGTAAAAGTTTGCTTCAAAACCCTGCCCAAGATTTTCCATTCTGTTGTTCATTTTTTGTTTTCCCATGTTCTCAACAAGAAATTAAGAGTTAGCTGCAAGCTGCAACAGCCAGACTGCCTCTGTCAGTTGTGCAAAATGGCAAAATATATGCTCACTGTCATAAATGTATTTTCTGTAAACACTGTATTGCAAGAAAGCTAAAGTGTATAGCTAAGGAAAATCCAAGATTCATATATATATACCATAAATATGGATTTTTAGGATGGGTATAAGCAGACTGCTCAGTAATATATAATTTGTTTTAAATTTGTTCACACTATATATATTATTTCTACAGTAAGAGTGCTGTAATTCTATACAAGCATCGATGCGTAACACACCGTACATTATAATAATCACAGATGTATAATACACAATAAAACATTAAATTATGCACCTTCAGATCTGCAGCCCTACATAATAAACGTCAGGCAAATCACTACTGATGCCTACCACAATGAACATAACAGCACTGACGCAAGTGCACCGAGAAGTATATGGATTTCCAGATTACGCGAGCCATGCGCGTGACAGAGCCGCGCGGGCGACACGTGACGGAGACGCGCGGGCACTCACCGAGTACACTAAGCACAGCAGACGTGTGCGTTGAGCCGAGATCGTTCGTTGCTATACACGTGTACTCGCCGCTGCGCTCCTTTGTGCAGTTGCTGATCGTTAGCGTCGCGAGGCCCTCCGCCGAGTAGCTGGCCGTCACTCCCAGACCGGCTGTCACAACCTGAGAGTGGAGATGCAAGAGTGCTTACCTCCTTTCTTGTGCTGCCGTTCTTTCCAAACACCCACGAATCAACCGCAAACAACCAGGCACCTGGCCAACATCAACCAAACAGGGGCAGAAACATGCGAGGCTCAAACCCTACCGACTCGGTCCCGATGTTTTTTAAGTGTTCACAATTTCAAGATAGAATGTATGTATATCAAGAGTGCATAATAGAGATTATTATTATGCACTCTTGATGTATATGCATGTAGCCTAAAATTAGACACTGGCCCACATACACCATCTCTTAAACGTGTCAGGCGACTCATCCTCAATACATTTCTGCACAAAAATGATTAAAAAAATCCCCCCCTCGTTTAAAAATTCATACGTCGACAATTTTCATCACACACAACCACGGCGCACTTGCATATTGCAAGCAAATCTACAAGAGCCCGCCCATGCACATTGATGGAACGAAACTGACCTGATCACATGGTGACCTCCAGGTGACCGTGGGTCTGGGTCGGCCATATATCGTACATTCGAATGTGGCCGTTTCACGTACATGCACTGTTACGTTTGTCAGTGGCGCCACGACTTCTGCAGGCGCCTCATTTTGGAAGGCTGGATTTAATAACTACAAAGAAGTCAACAGCATTGCTTACAGATTGAACCGCGGCCGCTAGCAGTACGTCCCCACCACCTCACCCAAACCAAACCTCTAGATAATCTCTAAAGTGCACTCCCTCCAAAACTGCTGTATCGCATGCCGCAAAGAGCAGACGATGGCACTGTTGTTCACTCAGTGAAACCACAGTGCATTTACACCGCGAGTCCATCAGCCGCACAGCAGCGATCTGCTCACGTGCCGCGACCGAGTTGAGCGACGACAGCAGCCAAGTGTGGACTCGAACTGAAGCCACGCGAACGGCTTCACTGACGTTTAATTGCTGTGCTAACACACTGTTCGAGCTGCGGCCGCACACTCGCAGCGCCGTCAATCAACACGCGTGCTAGCGTGACGCTTAATCAAACGCTGAGCCACTCGACTTCATATGCCGACACTATATGCCCCTTCATACCCCACTATACCCTATACGTCTGCAAAATTGCACAGACCTCGCGTGCTGGCATGCAATCCGCACATCGTACGTAGGTTTTCTCACATGTATTCCCAACTAGCGCCTGCATTGGTATCGCTACACGATTTCTCATGGTTTCTTTCAAAATTTCGCACGTGCTGAGGGAACAGGAAGTGGAAGTGAGAACGATATTTTTCCATTACATAATCGAACGAAGCTAGTTACACAAAGCGTTACACAAGGCACACGTGCTCGTTTTCACACATACAAATGCAAGTAATAACGACAAAATAAAACGACCTCGGTAATAAAGTACAAACGACTTCAGCAGAAACAAGGGCTAGTGGTTCATTCGCTCACCTTTACATTAGCTCGACACATGGGGGAAGAGTCACGTTTGCTTTGCTGCGAACGACCATTCTCCTTAACCGGACTCAACTCTTTTGTTTGAGATGGCGTGACTAGACTTTGGTGCCACTTCATCCTACAATCATTTTAAATGCCACGAATTTCAAAGCATTAATTTATACATTATAAACATCCACACATGCGTACTCACACACGCACCACACAGATGGATTGTACAAACCTACTAGTACATGTACACTTATATCAGGCTACTAGAGAATATATCATAACATAACACATCGCATAAATAAGGTACTGACGTCGGTATACCCTTACTAAATCAACTTCCTCATTGTGAAATCCGACAGGAGAACTAACACAATTTCAATGGTGCTATCTAGGCGTACCCCTTTCAACCTAAGAGCAACAGCTGTTACCTGGGTGCAATATCACTGAACTCCAGTGCGTGAGCGGGCACCCACCCCTCGGCCGCCGGAGATGCACTACTCGCTGCCCTGTACACGAGACACATGTTGTATGGACTTGTCGTAAGCACCTGTGTAGAAAACGCACACATATGTACATTAGGTAACGCCGTGACATTGTTAACGTCAATGTCACACAGCACCACTACCTTCAGTTTATGAAATTAATATTGTTGTTTTACGAACAAATCAACTAATTATAATAATAAATCTTGCTTGGAAGTATCCGTGTGGTTAGTCTTGTGGCTTGCATGTACCTGAACAGTTTCACCTTTGGAGAGAGTGATTTCATCTTCTTTTACTGCCGTATAACTGCCTATCACTTTTGCTAAAGTGGGCTGCAATGAAAAAACTTACTTCATTAATTCAGTCCGATTGGTTAAAACATCAGTCTATATTCACATATTATGTAATGGTGTAATTATATTTAGACTATAATGTAATAAAAACTTTTGTTAAAACATTATCAAACCATTTGGAAAAAAGTTTCTCATGCAAAACCAGTAACTTATTGAGCGACAACCAAACAATTCAAATTGAAACCGTTCAAATAGTGAAGATAACCGTAAAGAAATGAAAAAAATTATTAAATCGACACAATTCACTTACTGCTGGGTTAGGATTAACAAAATCACAGTCTGTGGCTGAATGACGCTTCACCCTTGCAGGTGATACCTCTGCAGCATTGTGAACCAGGTCTGGTACACTGTGAGTACTAAAAACGGTAAAATAAATTACACAGAGCCTTTTAATTTATACAGAAGCCTGTTAAACTTATTTTGGTTTTAAACTTAAAGTTGATAATGCCACATTTTCCATTAAATTCTGAGAAATGCTGCACAGTATTTACTTATAATTAGTAAATAATCTACATAGCTCCTACTGAGGAATAAAAGGTCTCGCCAGACACCTACTATTCATACATAATTAGTGAGCACATTTTGTTGTTTTCGCAATAAACCCACAACCAGATGGAATTCAGAGAAGGGATTAATTCGATTAATTAAGGATCATTTTCCTTAATACATCATTACCAACAGAGGCCACTGTCATCAATGCATTTGTTTGTTGGGTGAAGCCATTGAGAGTATTCATTTAATGAAATAAAATTCCTCTCTGCAAACATCAAATCTGCTTTTTCACTCACTTGCAAATATACACTACACCATGTAATTTCCCACTATACCCCATATATATATGACATTAACACTGTTGTAGGTGTGTAGACAAGTGATAAGACAGTTTTTTAAAACAAGTGAATAGTGAAACGCATCACCAGTCAGTGAAAAGGTTGTTTGCTGAAAAATTGAAGCTCGACAAACCTTTGGAATTTGCGACAAACGTGCGCACGTGCATATATAATTTTCACGATTACCTCATTAAATGTTTGCAAAACGTTTTTATAGTAAATTCAGGAATGCTGTTTGGTTTAGTACCCGCAGAACATCAACGTGACCTCATCAACCCTGTAGTTGTCCATGTTAGGTTATTATAATGCGTGCCGACAGCTTGTAATGTGCTCATGCGTGCGCCTATACGTATGCACGTGTGTACGTGCGTGCATGCAGCCGTCAATCGTAATTCGAACGTGATGACATTTCAGCGGTGATTAGGATGCTGCCACGCTGAAGAGAAACGCAGCGGAAGGAGCGCTCGCGTAAATAAATGTTGGCAACGCCGCCACGCGACCAAGTCAGCTCAACGTAATCACAGCTCAGCTCCTGTTGCAGCCGCCGTGTCTATTGATCCTAGCCCACTCAGCACTAATGCTGCTATTTCCCAGGTTTGACCAAGGCCTAACCGGGTATTGATGGACGGCTGCCCGCAGATGGCAACAGGCAGCGCTACTGTTTCCATTCTTCTGACAACTACTGTAGCTTGGAGCATTACTGTGATTCAGTGGTGCCAAGTTGTCACGAACTCTGGGCATATGAGTGACAAACTACCACTTCTATTTTCGCGTTGTTTTCTCAAGCTCTTGTGAGCCGTCTTACTTGCTCGCTACCATATTAAATATGTCAATACAGTGCTCCCCGCTTTAGCAGCCCTTGCATAAACAGACGCATCGCTTAAACGACAAACCAAAAGACTCGATTTTAAACAAAAGTCCTTATGCACGTTGTAATGAGTTCACTGCTTAATCGGGACATTTTCGTGGTTCCCCACCTGTCGTGATAAAGCAGGGACCAGTAGTGCAGTGACTAGATACAATGCTGTACATCTCACTACAATAACACGCACACATTTACGCTAACACATCTGCACATGAACACGGCTGGGTTATCCGTACAAATATAAATAAGCACGCACGCACGCACGCACGCACGCACGCACGCACTCTTCCTTCATTATGTACACACACGTGTGCATGCGTGCACGCACCACTCCTTAATTATGTACACACACGTACGCACGCATTCACAGGCACGTGAGCACGCGCGCACAGACACACATGCGCACAGACACACACACGCACGCACCGACACATACGCACGCACACGCACCTTCTGCGCACAGGGCTGTCGGTAAATAGCATTAGATGATGATAGATGGAAGATAGATGGTGAATGCGAGTAGCATCTCCGAGACACTTACTTAACGATTGTCGAAGTGTTCACGTCCGAGTCCGTCTTCGACTTGGGTCGCAGGGACCGCTTCAACTCCTGAACATCAAACAGCTTCTTCCTGCCAGCCTTGGGAGAGCTTCTGCCGTCAGAGAGACTCGGCACCGAGTTCTGCCTGTGATCGCGCGAACGCCCTCCTGCATGCGACGACAAACACACACCAGTTTTACAAATGAGTCCGTAACCCCGGACAGTCCTAATTGCGAAAACATCTATTTCTACTATATTAAACTTTTGGAAAAAAAACAGAAAAATGAGTCAGTCCTGCTCAACAGTTACCAGTCCCAGATGCGTGATTTTTTTCCCCACTCAGATAGTGGCATTAATTTGCATAAGCAGCGCTGATTGGCTGGCGGTTTCGCGCGCGGTGAGTTGTGAAGATTTATGAGCCCATTATCACAGTCTTACAGTATACAGTATCATACTATATACAGTATGTGCTATTGCTCTCGTTGTTATTCATGAAAATCCGTAATGAAACTTACATTTAAAGCTGGATAGTCAGCTTTCTTGCTGTGCATTGACAAAGCTTTTCCATTATGAGTTCACTGTTATAGAATTAACGGTAAAAGTGTCAAATCGAGCCAATCGGCGCCTTTGTTTAGCGCCATGGCAAGAGCCAATCAGCGCCGCTTATGCAAATTAATGCCACTATCTGAGTGGGAATAAAAGTCACGCAGGGAAATGAGCTGCTATTTCTATTTCTAACACTGAACAAACACACCGACACACGCACGTATACACGCACCCACACACGTTTGCACTCACCCACGCACGCACACACATACACACAAGACACGCCAATCAGTGCACACGTACGCTACAGTGTCCGAACAGTGTCCTTAGGCTACAATGCACCGACGTCTTCGGGTGACGTATGATACACGTATGATGAATTAGATAGATAATTACATCTGCCCCAAGTACAGGTGGCAACATATTATACAGGGCCAATAAAATGTCATCTTTACGAATTGTGTTACTGAGACCATGCTGGAAGGCAATAAAGACTTCGTACACGAGACATAATTAACATTTAACAGACAAAATATACATCACGGCACTGTTGCCATAGAAACCGAATGTCTCCAATAATATAGCGAGTTGTCTTCAATATATAGTGAGTGCATGGCTCCAATTATACCTACAGTAAGCAACTTTCCTTATAAACATAGTCACTGACATCCGTTAAATAGTAACCGATTTTTCCCATCACTTGTAGAAACTGAATTTTACATAATCATAAACATATATAATACTTATACATAATATAGAATTGTTCAATCATTAACAGGAATAATAAATAATAATCATAAATAATTAACAGGACGAACACATGTATACGTATGTTCAAGCTAATAGTGACCGATTCACCTTAGAAGTTAGAATCGAGGTAACCTATTTATGTAAAAATAACAGTAACAGACTTCTCTAGCAGTCTTTGTAACGAATCTACCTAACAGTGCTGGTAACTGATATATGGCACAATGCTTTTATATTAAAAAACCCTTACGGGGAAAGAATGTTTTTGACAGATAGAGAAAGAGAGAGAGAGAGAGAGAGAGAGAGAGAGAAAGAGAGAAAGAGAGAAAGAGGGAGAGAGGGAGAGAGAGAAAGGGAGAGAGGAAGAGAGGAAGAGAGAGCGAGTGAGAGAGAGCTTCAAACGGTTGCAGGTTGATTTGACTAGGAATATCATCGCATCGAATAGGCTCCGAACAGACGACGAACGCAATAACCTCGCACGATTTCATTGGCTCGATGTTGCTGCCGAGACCAAAGCTCGCTGCCAGACGCAAAGAATTTCTCATGTGCGCGGACGTACGGCGTAAAATGATTCGCCACGCTGATACGGCGAGGCTGTCATCAACTGCTTTTGTTGCGGCATAGTGCAGACGTCAGACTCAGCTGCTGCGAACAAAACAATTAGGACGAGCGTACCCATACAAGCTGGGTCATCCTCGATTGATTCCGTCATTGACGCCATCTTTGTGTGCAGCAGAGACGGATTGTGTGTGGAGCCAGACCCTGTGGAGAGTGATCCCGGAACGCTCTGACTAGATGTTGCCTAAAACGAACAACACCTACTGTTACAGAATATAATATTCTTCCGAGTTGCGATAAATGTAGAGCGAGGATGTAAATACTTAATAGTAAATCTGCTTTCTTGTGATATTTCATGCAACGAAAATCACGGGTTGGCTCACTTCCATTGCGTGTCAGCACTAACACATGCCATGTTTATGTGCACTCAACCTGTCTAACCTTGCCACGACCTGGGTGGATGGACGTGTGCGTTTCTAGGGAGGAGGACTAGGGAAGGGGGAGGTGAAACCGACATTTATCTTCCATTTTGCTATTTACACTCACTGGACCACAGCAATGACAACTGGGCCATATCTTTCCCCATGCACAAAAGGTAGTTAAATACAGAGCCAGACCTTCCCTATAAACGAAAACATATCACAGTTAATTTGTAGGTCTCATATAGTATCGTGGCATGATATTGCCTTTATTCTATTCAATTCTGCACTACATGCAGACAGGCTCTATCCCTTCTACTAGTCTATTTGTCATTCTATACATCGTCCCACCCATTCATGGCTCAATATAAGCCCCCTACAGTGAATTATGCACTGCAGAAGTTTAGGATACAGGCGCTTCACGCTTGTTGCCGTGCCAACCACAGTAAACAATTTGTTTACAACTATATTATTGCAAGGCTTGCTGCTATCTGCAGCTGCCAGTGGAGTGCATTGCTATCATGCATAAAGACATGTGAAAGAGAATGGCTGATCTGGCAGAGTCAAATTCTTTCTAACAGTAGGCCCTAAACAAATCCATGTTCAACCCTCCTCTTGAGGGTCAAAAGGTTATCCACCATGAAATGTACTTTCTGCTGACATGCAAAGAGTAAGTGTCACTTTCAATAAAGCCAAAAAAATAGGTCAACGCTGAAACAAAACAGTTTTTCAATCGCTCCGTCAGACCATGTCCTCAGAAAATGTCTAAAATCTGCCCTGTGCCCCATTGACCTTTATCCTGTGACCTCCAATTTCGGCACAGTGATGGCTTTTCCTACCATGATGCTATACACCGACTATCACGAGCCTAGGTCGAGCCGTTTAGATTTGTGCCGCAATTCTGCATTTCCTCCCTATCCCTTAAGTTAAGGATGGAATGTTCCCCTTCTTTTACACCTCTTGACCTTTGACCTTTGACCCCCAGCTTCAACATCCCAACTCGTTTTCGGATTACCCCCCCCCCCCCAGGTCCCGAATATCGTGACCGTACGTCGAGCAGTTAAGATTTGTGCCCAACTGTTGACGGACGCACGGACGGATGATCATGCGATGCTACAAGCTGCATCTGACTACGTCAGATGAGCTAAAAATGCAGGAGTCCGCGTGACTCCCTGAAAATTCTGCTATACTAACTAGTACGGCATCGCGGAATTGCCGTATTTTTTCAGCAAGTGTTCCAAGAAAATTTGGCAGACGTGCACCGCAAATGTCCTGCAATGTCCAAACGTGTAATCAATTTCGATGCGAAACCAATGTGTTGAATGATGTACGGACCCTATTGTTTCATGTCTGCTATGTATGTGGTTCGAACTGACGTCGTGTGTGGAGTATGTTTATGACTGCGTAGGGGTGACGGGTGCCTGGGCAGGGAGCCCTACGTATAAGTTGACAAAATGATGACTTACGCGTATGTCGTCATTTTCGCAAGTCGACACAAATATGCTGGTGCCAAAAGTGTCGACTTATTCGAGTTTTACTGTATCTCTTAAATGTTGATTCCCTACATTTATCGCGTATCAGTAATGACATATAGCAAGGGCAATAGCTCGGGAGCTCATGAAAATAAATAAGGGGGTAAAGATTCTTTCGCGCCCCAGGTTCCGACGTAATTACAGAGTATTCGGTAAACGCGGCGATATCAGTACAACGTATTCATATTCCAGGTAATGTCGTCACTGTCGTGGATTGTGTTTTTTCTGTGATGGTGCATCAGTTTGACACAGCAACTCGCAGTGAGCTGAGCCACCATGAGAGTGGTACCATCTATCTATATATAGACTATCTAGTTATATCAGGAGTAAGATAATATAGACTGGAGCGTCCATATTGCACATTCCTGTATATATAAAGAGTTTACCCTTCCAAATTCAATATTTTTATCTTATTAAATCAGCTTATTAGCAACTATTATAGTATTTCAAATACCTTGAACTTTTGTCTGCCTGTACTCTTAATATTGGTAGAAGTTGTAGTACTGATAACCTATGTATTGTTATAACGTCTAGTTGGATGTTGTTATATGCTGTACATTAATTTATGAACTTTGTAAGCTATGTTTATGAACGTGTGCCTGATAATATATGAGTATATTATCTACTTAGTATAATTTATTTATTTTTTTCTCATCTAATTCACCACTGCTATAAATACTTTTATTTAATACTCAAATCAAAATCAACCTTTGAACTTTGCATCCTACGTACTACCAACGTTGGTGTATATTTGTCGATTCTTGTATACCTAGATAGATCTTAATCGTAATTAATAGCTTTATTAACTTGAACCTCGTAGTCATTATATGATTCAAGCGTGCTGTTTTAATATATAATATTTTTGTTTTTTAGGGGTGGCAGACTTGTGATGACGCTAAGAGGTCTTTCGCACCCCGTGCCTATATCTATCACATTACTGTATTGTGACCTTTCATTCTAATATGTATCGTTGTATACTGAATGTAAATTATGTCTTATGTCACAAGATAAGATTATTTGAATCTTGAATCTCTGAATCTTCTGCACGCAGGCTTGTCCTACTGTTACACGTCGTCGTAGGAAAGTAGCCAATGTGTGGTTTAAGCGAAGATGGAACTTGTGGCTAATCTGGAGCATGACTGAGCGATTTTTTTACTGTTTATAATTTCAAATTTCTTAGAATATCGTCCATATAATCATTGTCATTCTATCTAAAAAGCTTACAGACCATCCGCTTTGACGCCGCTGTGGAGACGTGCGCCGGGCGCTCGAAGTTTTGGCGCACTGTCTCCACTGCGGACAGCGGCTTCATACTTGAACATCCGCGCGGATCGCGTGCGCGATATCCACGGAACTTGCGCGTTCTCATCACGGCGCAGCGCTCAGGATCACAGCAAGAGCTGTGCCACGCATCTTGTATCATGTCTCTCCTGATTACCTAAACCTGATTAACGATGAGATATCTCATAAGCTTAGATTAAATCTGTAGGCTAAATAAATATATTAATCAATTAATCTTATACTCCATAATAAAATAAATCAATGAAATAAAATCAATGAGTGAATAAATGAATTAAATAAAGTAAGATAAAATTAATTATTAATAATTGATGAATTGAATAAATAAATAAATAAATGATAAATAATAAAACAATAAAATATAATGAAATACAATAAGTATTAAAGTTTCAAGTTGCGCAGTTAAATAATAGCTACATATTGCATATTTCGACTCAGATAAATACCGTTTATATATTATATTTTAACAACTAATAATTTTTCCTGCGTTTTTGATGTGTTATTTACGAATAATGTCGGGGTTCTGACTTCGTATTTTAAAAATCGTAATTCCGGAAACGCTTACAGTGTGACGTCACATTTGCGAACATCCGCTTCCGTGGTGATTAGCGAAATGGACTGAGATACGATGACTTTGTTGCACTGTGGAAGACGATGACTTGGAAGTGTGTAAAGAGTGGTTCTGCTGTATGAGTATGACGATGCTAGAATTTGTGTAGTTGGTGATATCGATGGGAGTGAGTCGTCTGCAGATAACTCTGCGATGATGGTCGACGAGCCGGTGTTTTCGTGCTGGATGAATGATATTTTCCGTAACTTGGCCCTTGGGCAGTATTTACGCTCAAAGTAGCGTTTACACACCCATGTTTACACACCATTTGTTTAGTTAGTTGGCTAGTTGTTACTAATTCTGATAGGGTCTATGTCCCCCAGGGTACTGCCTGAACGTACCCTGGGTACCACAGGCACTTGAAAGCGTTTCACTGTAAACACACGCCGCCGCCATTTGCGCACACACTTAGCTGACAACTAAACTAATACTATAATATCCTAGACAGGTGAGAAAGCGCTGATCCGCAAAAATTCGCGTCGACGCTCGCTGCATTTTCTCACGATTTCAACACAAATACACATCCAACATGCTTCCATCTTTGTTTCTCCTTCAAGACAGTGTTCACTTGTTCATAAAACAATGTCTCTGTCGGTAACCGCAGCTGTCTGTCACCGCGAAATCACACAAAGATGACGAAATTCTCGCGTTTCCGCTAGCTTACTGCGCCACGGATGGTAACGATACTTTCGCCCATGTGTTAAGGCGGCGAAGTTCGTCAACATCCGGTGCGCAGTCGCCTCTTTCTCACCTGCTATATTTTATATAAGCTGACTATTGGCCCGACGGTCGGCGTAATAGAACACGTTTTCTTATAGACCCGACAGTCCGGGCATAAAAAAGATAGAACATAGATACTCAGTTCGAACGGCAAACGCGAAATATTTATTTTACGTAGCAGTAAGACCACTGATCTCTATAATATCAGGATAAGATAAATATATATTATCCTTACTCCTGATTATATTTATTATATAGGAATCAATGCGTAAGAGTAAATACACTGCTAACGTGGAGTCGATCCTAACCATAGCACACATCCAAAACTTCTCACATACATATGTCGTAAATAGCGTAGGTATACAGCGGCAGAATGCAAGTATCGAACAAGGTCGGTGGATCGCATCCAATCTGTTTTGTTTTAATTATTTTCCGCTGTTTTCTGTATTTTTCTATTTTTTATTTGTTTAACATTTTCTTCCAATTAACCAAATACTTACCACTGATTTTATTTACAAGCATTCTTAATAACAACTATTAATTTTACAATCAAATTTATTATACATTCTTTTTAATACAATGGGAATTGTGGTAGGGCGGTGGTAGCGTTGGGATCAGGTAGGTGTATTGCCTTGCTAGAAATATCGTCGCTCCCGGCAGCGTCTATCTATTTGCAACACTGCGACAATAATTGCATTTATAGTAAT